TTGGACTTAATGGACTTATGTCTTTATTCAACCTCAAATACTATGTAACTATGTAACAATGGAATACTACAAGTTCCATCTTCCTCCACAGAAGAAGGACTTGTAAATCTCAAAGGAGAAGTATAGTGGCGTCACTGCACTTGTAGTCCAGTAATTGCTTCGTCCAGCCCCTTAATGGTTGGTCATTACCATCATATGGACCTGGGGCTAGGGTAAGAGTCTGCAGGAGCCCGGGCACTGCACCAAGGATCTATCTATCTATCTATCTATCTATCTATCTATCTATCTATCTATCTATCTATCTATCCCACCTTAATACCTCTCTCTCTCTCTCTCTCTCTCTCCATATCTCTCTCTCCCCCTCTCTCTCTCTGCCTACCTATCATATCTCTCTCTCTCTCTCTCTCTCCATCCATATCCTATCTATCTGTCTATCCATCCATATCCTATCTATCTATCTATCTATCTATCTATCTATCTATCTATCTATCTATCTATCTATCTATCTATCTATCTACCTATATTACAGTTTGGTTTTCACCATTAGACATTCTTTGTGTTATCTTTCAAACAAATTCCAGCATGGCTGCCGGCGCAGAGTCCAGTAACAGTAAACTGTATGTGTCAGTAGATAATTAGCGTTTGGTGAGTCCATAGACATCCAGTCCTGTCTGATAGTATTGAATTGGTTTCCTCGTACACTTTCTTTTCACACAGTACTAGCAGAGGTTGTACATTTATCTGGGAAGCTCCTTAGCATACAATATATTGTACAGTATGTGTACATATTATTCTATATTCAGGTCGGTGTATATATGTGTGTGTGGCGGACGAGCATCAGACGTACAATAAAAGTATTAAAGTATCTGAACTTTGTCACGCTGCTGCTGATCTTTTTCCTGAGGTTCTAGTTGTCTAACTGCCATGCTGATCCAAAAGCATCAACCATTTTTGAGTCCCTGCCTGATCTGGAGTAAGTGTATTATCGAATATGCAGCGCTAATCTTATGGATGTGTATTAACTTGGTGATAGCTTAGTAATGTGTACAACTCTATTGGTCCATCGACCTGATAATCAACCATGATTGGTGATGAAAGGTAAATAAATAAATAATCAATCAATATACATAGGTCACTATATACATTTGAGACTCCCTCGTGTCCAAACTATATGTGCCAAACATATACAAAAGTAAGTATGTGACAATATATACAAGTGAATCAGTGCAAAAATTAGTGACTGAGTTATATACCCATAACTCTATACATACACCTGTGTATATAGGGTTCGATTATACACTATTTGTGGATAGTGAACCCCACAATATCCCTTTAGATATTAGTAATAGTGTTGAAACACCGTGAATAGTCCGTATAATCACATAGCATTCCTGGTGCAAAAAAGTTTATCTCAATCTGTGCGCTGATGTGAGACCACCGGATCTTGGAGGTCTTGTGAAGATTGCTGGGGATTAGGCAAATGCCGCAAGTCTCCCCTCAAAGTGCGCACTCACCGTGATGTGATGGCTGTGATAAGCAACCGAAAGCGCTTGTATGGTAACTCACGGAGCCGTAGCGTCCTCACTGTGTCTTTTTCAGATCGGTTTCCAGAGAGTGACGTGTCTCCATACTCATACCCAGAGAAAACTCTTCATTGTGTAATATTTCCAAAAAAGGGCTTTATTTACCGTATTTTTCCGTGTATAAGACGCTACTTTTTCATTAAAATGTTTACCTAAAAATAGAGGGGCGTCTTATACACGGGTGCCGAGAGGAGAACCGCGGTTGCGAAACTGCCGAAAGTGCCGATACCACTGCAAACTAGCCTCACGAGTGAAACTTAGGATTGCAGAGACAAGATAACAGTTTTCCTCCAATCATAAATCTTTTGTACCTGACGTCAGCTGTTGCTGGGGAGAGTGTGTAGCCAGTGCCCAGAGCGGTAATGTCGGAGCATAAAGTGATTGGCCCAGAGGTAAGTGTGATACATAATATCATTTAAAATATTGATTTCTGAATTTTGGGTAAGAAAAGTTGGGGGCGTCTTATACATGGGGGCGTCTTATAAAATACGGTAAATCCAGTAAAAAAGCATAACAAAGTCTTTGCCAGCCGGATGGGTAGTAAAACAACAAACCTCTGTGTTTGGTATGGTGTGAATTAGGCCCGCCCCTGGGGTAAGACCTGAGTTTGCTAAGACCTCACTTTCTGCAGAATGGGTCAGACACTCCAAGTATTGAAGTCAATTCATTGGCATGGATGCCAGGCAAGAAGAATTTTCAAGAGTTCAGCCATAGCATCCTCCATATAAATCTGAAAAACATTCATCAAAGTTTAGCAGTCTGAGAGCGCTCTACTTAGAGATATGCCATCATAGCAGATATAATGCTCCCCGTAGTGCACAAAAACAAATAGTGAATGTGATGCAAATGTACACTTCAATTTTTCTTTCTGCATACCGGTAATGTTTGCTAGTCCATGTATTCTTACCCTACACTGGTTGCATATACCATCTCTTACTAATGACTTGTGGTCGTAATGGGTTTACCACGCATTACCGGGTGCCGTACTAGTGGCTATGGTCGGTAAACGATTCACTTTTATGGTTTATATCTTCTGCTATTCCTGTATTACCTGAATTTGAACAAAAAAATCAATAAAAAAATTGTCAATTTGAAAAAAAAAACGTTTAGCAGTCCATCGAATTTGTTAACGGGCGGAGGACCTTTGTTCTTTCAATCATATTAGTGATAAAAATATGGTTGGAATTGGCAACAAATTGCTACGTGTGTGAGAACACATCAGCTCTAGGGACGGGTGAAGTGCAGAGTCCACATTTCCCTGAAATTTCAGCCACAATCAGGCGATCGCTGCAAAATGTCATCATTTCGACTAAATGCATTGAACTGCACAGGGGAGGCGAAAACAAAGTATTTTCTCTTTTCTTTAACCACTTCCTGTCTGGAGCGATTTCTTCATTTTTGCATACACATTCAAATCTGAATTTTTTCCCTAGAAAACCGCATAAATTCCTCAAACATTTATTTGTGGAAGCAGAGGTCCTGTAGAATAAAAACAAAATGGTAGTTGCAATTTTTTTTGCTGCAGGATTTTTGTGCAAATGTTTAAAGGAGAACTATGAGATGAGTGATTTTCACTCACCTCATAGTTCTAGCCGACCTGTGACAATGAGACTGTCACAGGTCGGCTCAGTAGATCGGGAGGTGAGCGAACACATACCGGGTTCGCTCACCTCTCGATCCTGTCACGGCTCTCTGCCGTGACAGGGGGAGGGGCTGGATTCCCCCCGCCCCGATCCGCCAGCGCTGACTGGCGAAACGGACGGGGGAGGGTACAGCTGGCTCTGCCTCTAGATAGGCAGAGCCAGCTGTCACTCACGCAGCTGGGCGGATCCCGTCGTCTAAGTCGGGATCCGCTCCGGCTGCGGCGTCTCAGTATACCGCGAGCTGTAGCTTAGGGTAACGGGAGGACGCTAGTTTGTGTCCTCCCGTTACCCTAAGGAGAACTATGGGGAAAAACACTGACCCCATAGTTCTCCTTTAACAAATCAATATTTTTAGGATAAAATACACTAAAATGAATTTTAGCGCACACAAACACAATATAATACCCATTTTTTTTAATGAAATATAAAAGATGAGGTCATGGGGTAAAGAGATACCAAACACGCCAAGCTTTAAAATTGCGTGCGTCCTGTGAAATGGCAAAAAAACAACACGTCCATGCTCCAGCATTCACTGCAGCCTAATTCAAAGGAAAATCCAGCTGCACACCGCAGACCACAGAAACTCTTTTTATTAGAAATCACACAGCATCATCCAAAATCATGAGATTTGGCCCATGATTGGGTGAAACGCGTCAATGGGGTGACTTTATGATGCCATGTGATTTATAAGAGTTTCAGCAGTCTACTGTGTGCAGCTGGATTTTCTTTTATCACCTTAAGGGTGCCCTGGGCATTAATTGGCTTCTAAGGATAACAGAAGCTGGATGTGCCCTTCCCCACCAAAAAAAGGACCCCCCTCCCTATTAGCCTTGTGTTTATTTTTTTTAAGAAATCAAACCAGACAGCAAAAAAATGTATAAGCCGCTAAATGACTGATTTTGATCTCTGTGAAATTCCACGTTTTGGGCTCCTAAAGCTCTCCATACACCGCTAGAGTTGATAGCGGAATCTCTCATTCTGGCAACACTGGCATTCGCGGCAACCTGCATACAATGGCGCTGCTGAACAATGACTGCATCTGATTGGATAACTTTTCACCCAGGTCAGTCAGTTTTAAAATTGACTTTTGAGGAGCCGCGTGGTGCCATAGGGCCATCTATGGCTCGAATTTCGGCTAATTCAGCAGGAATCGGCTGAAATTGGTGCCGTCTATGGCCAGCTTTGGGCAACATGTGCTCTTCTCTTTATTTAGAGGATTTTTTTGTGTATTTTAGTTCCATTTCTGTTCGTATTTGTGTGGCTTCCTGTTTGCCAAATTCTCTCTACCCTATATTGTGTGATGTATGTATATGTATTAGCCAAGCCAAAGTCTCTTCTTCTCATATCTGATCGTTTCTTTCATGTTTTGGCACTTTTAAAATGTTTCAAGCAGATTAACCCATCACAGGCAGCGCCACTCCACACACATTTCAGTGTCAATGATGTAGTCTGGGCACTCCCAGCTTTTAGCACTAATGGACGACTGGAGATCGCAATGGTCTTGGAGCCTGTGTGTAAAGGAGCGACCCCCCCCCCACACACACACACACACTTTATAGTCCCTAAATAGTCCTGATAGTGTCATATGTCACTCCTCTTCTCCAGATGACTGAGACTCCCCCGGTTGACTAAGCTGAAGCCACTGATACCAAGTCCGCCAGTCCCGGTGACGTCGCCCTGTAGTCACTTCTCCAGGTGCCACACCTGTAAACACCACGCCCACCACAGAGGAGAGCGCGAGGACAGTGGGACGGGACAGTCATACCGCTCAGGATTTTGTACAGGAGGTGTCACAAGCCCGGAGAACGGAACTCACAGCCGGAGTCCCCATGGGGAGGAACAAGAGGAGCTGCCTGGGAGCTGCGCTCATCTTCCTTCTGCTGCAGGTTAGTGATAACAGTGGGATGGAGGATGAATGTCCCTTAAAAGTTCTGGAGGACTGATATACAATACTTGTGGTGGCTTTACCAGTGTCCCCTGGACTCTTAACATGATGCGGACATCAAACTAGAAACCTTATGGACATCTTCCTTTCCTTGTGGACACTTCGCTAGTGCCCTATGGACACCTACTCAACTGTTAGCTACTACTCTATAGACTTCTACCCTGCTGCTACATTACCTATTGCTCTATGGAAACCTATCATTAGTTACTACCTTACAGACATCTACCCTACTCTACGGTGCCTACCTACCTTGCTAAATATTATCTCCTACCCTGTGGAAACCTACCCTGCCATTAGCTACTTGCCTTTTGGAGACCTGCTACCAATCTCTATATTAGCTTTTGCCCTATGGACACCTACTCAACTGTTAGCTAGTACCCTACAGCCATCTAACCTACTGTACAATATCTACTGTTCTTTGGAAACTTACCCCACCATTAGGTACTTCCCTACAGACATCTACCCTACTCTACGTTATCTACTGTTCTGCGCAAACCTACCCCCACCATTAGGTACTTCCCTACAGACATCTACCCTACTCTACGTTATCTACTGTTCTGCGCAAACCTACCCCCACCATTAGGTACTTCCCTACAGACATCTACCCTACTCTACGTTATCTACTGTTCTGCGCAAACCTACCCCCACCATTAGGTACTTCCCTACAGACATCTACCCTACTCTACGTTATCTACTGTTCTGCGGAAACCTACCCCCACCATTAGGTACTTCCCTACAGACATCTACCCTACTCTACGTTATCTACTGTTCTGCGCAAACCTACCCCCACCATTAGGTACTTCCCTACAGACATCTACCCTACTCTACGTTATCTACTGTTCTGCGGAAACCTACCCCCACCATTAGGTACTTCCCTACAGACATCTACCCTACTGTACAAAATCTACTACTCTTTGTAAACCTACACCCACCATTAGGTACTTCCCTACAGACATCTACCCTACTGTACAAAATCTACTACCCTGTGTAAACCTACACCCACCATTAGGTACTGCCTTATGGACACCTGCCCTTCTTTGTATTAATTACTTGACTTTTGGACACCTACTACCTATTTCTATATTAACTACTGCCTTATAGACATCTACCCTTCTCTATATTAGCTACTTACCCTACTAATATTATCTACTGTCCTATGGACACCTACCCAACTCTATGATAGTTATTGTCCCATGGACACTTTTTCCAATTCTTCTTAGCGACTGCACATCGAACACCTACTGTTCTCTGTATTAGCTCCTACCCTATCGACTCCTACCCTACAAAGTATCACCTACAGTATTGTCCTATTGTCACCTTCTGTCACCTACTGTCCTGTGGACTCATTCTCTATATTGGCTACTGCCTTATGGACACTTACCCTACTCTATATTAACTACTGCCTTATGGACACCGACTCTTCTCTATATTAGGTACTGTCCTATGGGCACCTACTCTTCTCTGTATTATCTTCTACCATATGAACACCTACCCTTCTCTATATTAGCTACTGCCTTATGGACACCTACCCTTCTCTATAATACTGCCCTGTAAATACCTACTCTACTAAATGCTATTTACTATCCTATGGACGCATAACCAACTCTACTAAATGTTATTTACTATCCTATGGACGCATAACCAACTCTATGTTAGATATTGCCCTTTGGACACTTAACCTACTTTATGATAGTTATTGCCCTTTGAACACCTAACGTTCTCTGTATCAACTACTACCCTATAGACTCCTACTCTACAAAGTATTACCTATTACCCTATGAAGACATACACTACCATTACCTATGGACACCTACCCTATATTAGCTACTTTCGTATGCCTACCAACCTTTCTCTATATTTGTTACTGCCTTATGGACATCTGCCCGTCTGTTTATTAAGCAAACGAGTTGCAATGTAACTGTACAATCTGTCTTTGGATCTAGCAATACATTTGTAGCACAAGGGTCAGAATGATTGGATAGTTTAAATAGCTTTTTATATTACATTGTTTTGGTAAATCTAAAATTGATTGTAGAGAGGCTGTATGGTCAGATTGTGACGTGTGTGATACACCTTTCTTTCTCTATATTAACTATTAACTAACACGTGACTGTGTGGACACCTACCTAAAACCACTTACTAATCTGAAAACCTGTAGACACTTAGCTGCTAGCACATGGGCACCTTGATGGAACTTCACAGACACATAACTAGTACCTTGTCATGTTTCTGGTTTGCTTATCTGACCCATTTTAGGATAAAGTTCCCCCTTTTTCTGTCTTTTAACACCCAGGTCTAATGTACATCTCATCATTTTGGATATTGTAACTACTAGTAGACTTCCAAGACAGTATTGTGGGTTGCATGCTCTGCACCTGAGTGGGTATTCACTAAAAATTATCTATATATATA